TGTTGTTAACATACTGGAAAATAAAAATGGAATGCTAAGCACTATATTCTGTTGCAGTTTTGTCTTGGTGCCTGAATGTATCTTTTAACAATTTAATAGGCTGGATTTTATTTGAGAGGTTTTCTTGAATACCCTATTGGAAGATTATACATAAAAGTGTTAAGTGTTACTACTTGATAATACAGTGTGAATCAGACTGAAGTCATGCATGTTAATCCTACTAATGTCCTAATACTTCAACAGATAAAATGGAAAGAATTTCCATTTATCTGTTACTCTGTGAAGTAGTGACATGAATGATTATGTGTTTCTACTTCCCACTATAATTACTAAATAACAAAAGGTTAGAGGTTTACTTTTACACTCATTTTGAAATTTAACAAGGTGGGAAGGTGCAGCTCTTCTAGCAATATTTCGATAACATTACCTTTGAAATACAAGTGTCTTTTTACCAAAGCTATTAATAATATTTAGAATTAATTGGGATTTAAAAAATATTATTGGACTTTTACAAACATTAAACATTTTGGTGACAGAATAGCATTGATTTGATATTACTTTAAACATTTTGCAGGTTGATTATATTTCTTAAGCTATTACTATGCCACACAAAAGTATTAAATTAAAAAAATTACTACTGGCCCCTATCAGGAATTACATTTTGAAATATCTCATGCTGTGTTAGATAAACTCACTTATTGGCTGTGCTGTAGGAAAAGGAGAATGGAATTTGAAATATACTTCAACTCAAAACAATGAGGTGAGTTTCTGTTCTCTTATCTCAAGCCATAATTAAAGTCAAAGCATAAGATTTAAGTAGACCACTACAAGCTCCTTAAAGATTGTTATGCTTTTCAAAATTCTGGTAAACATTATTGTAAAATACTCCTTCAGTTCTTTATTGGACATATTTTGGATCATTATCACTACTCCAAAAACCTTCTTGAACATCAGAAGTGCATTCAAAACTTAACATTTGATGGGAGTAAAAGGGAAAAAACTGTACTTGAACAATGATTAAAATAAAATAAAAAAAAACAAATTTAACATTCTCATCTTCTTTCGGTTGTCAGTGTTTCATAGCTGACAAAACCTCAAGTAGCACATCTGCCGTCTTGAAGACTATCTGATATTTATTCCTACCTTTAAAATTACAGTTGACAAATAATATTATATTAGTTTCAGGTTTAGTGACTTAGACATTTATGTAACTTACATAATGATCGCCCAGATAAGTCTAGCACCCATCTAGCACCGTACTAATTCTCTCTGGAAAACTCTGTTATTGCATCCTGCTCTACATACCAAATCTGTAATCCCATCTTTTAGGAAAAAAGCTTTTTCTTTTATACTTCATTTACAATTAGGTATTATTATATGCATACTCTCTGTACTTTTAGTATGCATTCCAGGTAACTTATGATAAGGTAATGCTAGGAAATACTGCATGATAAGTTGGCCAGCTTCTTAACACTATCCCAATCCAGGGCACTTTGGGCACAGCTTATGTATTAAACTTGTCATATTGGTCTTATTTCACTATACTAAAAAAAATCAATGTTTGTTAGCTCTTTCTACCTAGAATAAAAAGAATAAAATACTTAGAAATAAATTTAACAAAAGAAGTGCAAGGATTCTACACTCAAAACAACAAAACATAACTGAAAAATATTAAAGAAGACCTAAATAAGTGGAAAGATTCAGCGCTAAGTTTAAATAATAATTTTGAAGTGGACCACCATAATAACCACCATTTAATTCAAGAAGAAGAACATCATAACTGGGGCCTCAAAATTGCCCCATGTGTCACTTCCAGAACGAACAGCTACTTTGGGCATTACCCCTCATTCACTTGTTTTTTAATTGTTTTTATTTTATTTTTATTATTATTTTTATTGTATTTTTTTTCATTACCATTTAGTCCCCTTTTACCCTTCCCCTTCCCCTGCCCCACAACCACTACGCTATTGTCCATGTCCATGAGTCCTTTCTCCTTTTTGCTCAATCCCACCACCTACTAACCTCACCCCTCCCACTAGCTGTCATCTGCTGTCCGTCTGTGAGTCTGTCTCTATTTTCCCGGGTTGTTCAGTTTGTTCATTAGATTCCACATATGAGTGAAATCATATGGTATTTGTCTTTCTCTGGCTGGCTTATATTATCTTTTCAGGAAAATTTTTCTTTTAGCTGAATTCCTTCATAATTTACTCAGCTTGTCAAAGAAATTTACTAGGGATATGTTGTGTTCTGAGCATTCTTTTAGACTCTGAAGGAACTTATGTCCTGATGATGAAGATATATACTGCATACATAAGGAAATAGCACAAATTTAATACTAACCGAATGCGGAAAGTGATGATGGCTTGAAAATGATAGAATAATTTGGGTATATTTTTTATGGAGAGCCATGGGACTTACCTTACAATTCATGTACCTGGATTGTTAAGATGGCAATACTCCCAAGTCAATTGAGCTATTCAACACAATTCTTATCAAATTGTTAGCTTTCATTTTGGGCAAAAAGTGACAGACTTATTCTACAAGCATGCAGGAATACAAGGGACCCAAAAGAGCCAAATTTACCTTTAAAAAGAAGAGTGACACAGGAGAACTCAAACTTCCTGATTTCGAAACTTACAAAGTTTTATGGTAATCAATACAGTGTTATACCAGCATAGAGATCAATAGAATGACATTTAGAATCCAGATATAAACCCTTATGCTTGTGCTCAATTGATTTTCAACAAGATGCCAAAACAATTCAGTGTAGAAAGAATAGTCTTTTCAACAACTATGTCTGGGAAAACTTGATAATCACATACAATAGAATGAAGTTGGACCCCTAACTTTTATTATATGCAAAATTAACTGAATCTTATAACTAAATATAAGAGCTAAAACTATAGAGCTCAGAAGAAAATATAGGTGTAAATCTTCATGACCTTGAAGTAGGTAATGAATAACAAGATATGTCATCAAAGATTAAACAACCAAAAAAATAAGTAGGATTAGTATTGAAAACTTTTGTTTTTCAAAGGACACTAAAATTTTTTAAAATAAGATGTTTTAACAGATGTAGAAATTGGGGCACGTATACCTTGCTATTGATACTGTAAAATGGTGCAGTAACTTTGGAAAACAGTTTGGCACTTCCTCAAAGAGTAAAATACAGAGTTATTATATGACCCGTCATTTCATTCCTGGATATGGATATCCAAAAAAACTGAAAACATTCTCTCAGAACCTTCTATACAAATGTTCCCAACAGCATTATTTATAATATATGAAATGTGGAAACAACTGAAATATTCATCAACTGATGAGCAAATAAGCAAAATATTATTTATCTATATCATGGAATACTATTTAGTCAGAAAAAGGAATGAAGTACTGACACATGCTAAAACATAGACAAACCCTGAAAATACTGTAAGTGAAAGAAGCCGATCACCAAAGACCATATAGGGTTTGATTTCATTTTATGAAATATCTAGAATAGACAAATTCTTAGGGACATAAACATGATGAGTGGTGACCAGGGCATAGGGAAGGGAAAATGGGAAGCAGATGCTAAGGATTTCTTTTTGTGGTGATGAAAATGTTCTGAAATTAGATGGTGGTGATGTTTGCATAACTCAGTGAATACATTGCCAATGTGAAAATGTGAGCGAAATTTTGTGATACATAAATTATATCTCAATAAAATTTTTAAAACTCTACTTAGAGTGCCTAGTACAAATTGTTTATATCATAATCATTTTCAAAATGGAGTCCTTCATGTTGATGTGAAATGGTAAGGCAAAGTGTTTTCTTGCATCAAAAACAACTACTCTTCACAGTCAAGAGTATTACAGAGCACAACATCTGATTCTTTTTTTTAAGATACTTTGTTTGTTTATTTTTAGACAGAGGGTAAGGGAAGAACTAAGAGAGGGAGAGAAACATCAATGTGTGGTTGCCTCGCGTGTGCCCCCTACTGGGGACCTGGCCTGCAACCTAGACATGTGCCCTGGGAATGGAACTGGTGATCCTTTGGTTCTCAGGCCGACGCCCAGTCCAGTGAGCCACACCAGCCAGGGCAACATCTGATTCTCGACCCAAGGAATTTCACTTTTCTTACATATTTGCCTTGAGAACAATTGTGATAAACTGATGTAGTGAAATGTCAAGTTGGCAGTATGGGACTGTTCAAGGAAAATGTTCCCATTTCTCCAAACTAACCTGTAGGTTGTTAAGTTAATTGGCTGTGTGCTTGGATGGAATGAATACTGGACTAGACCTCAGAAAACCTTTCCTCACACCTCACTGTATGAACTTGCACTTGTTAATTATTTCACTGCCTTTGGGTGGACTATCAATAATAGCCCAATACATTTATAAGATTTTCAAGTGAATCAAATGAATATAAGATGTGAAGGTACTTTAAAATTGACAGCACTATAAAAATAGGAGACATTATTTACTTAACACCCTTCATTTTTCTTCTACAGACTTGATTTTCTAAGAAGGGGGAAACATAAAGTGCTAAGTTAAATGGTTCCCTTTGGATAGTAATTGAAAGAGTCTGGCTTTCTTCTTGAGGAAGAACATTGCTTGGACACAGGAACTGAACTTGTGTGACACTGATGATAGGATTTTGTAGAAAACTGTTATAATTTTTTTAATGAATCATTCTGGCAAAATGAGAATGATATGGCAGCAGACAGGTTATTGTCAATTAAACACGAGCTGTCAGAGCATCAGAAATGTTAAAATACGGTGAGTGTGAATCCTAAGCTGATCACATGGCAGCTGCTCAGCTGTTATTTTAACAGAGTTGCTGTATGTATGTGTCATTTTCCTGCAAAATTTAATTTGAATCCTTAACGACAGAGACACCTCTGCATTTGCACGTTGCTGTTGCATCAAACTTGGACCTTCTTACTGAGCTCAAATGGTGGGTGGTAGAGGGCAGGTGGCATTTGGAGGAGATAGCTCTCATCTCCTTTTCTTCCACTCAGGTTACATTGAAGAAGCCTGCATCATCCCCTGCCCCTCCGACTGCAAGCTCAGTGAGTGGTCCAACTGGTCCCGCTGCAGTAAGTCCTGCGGGAGTGGCGTGAAGGTTCGGTCTAAATGGCTTCGTGAAAAACCGTATAACGGAGGAAGACCTTGCCCCAAACTGGACCATGTCAACCAGGTATTTTCTGCCATTCGGAATAATAAAGTATTGTGGTTTAGATTGATAGTGATCTGGGTTTTTTTTCCAAAATGTACAGAAGTAAATAGTAACTCCTGAATTAGAAATCTGACCCATTTTATCTTCAGAATGCCGGGTTCAATACATGTATTTTATTAAAATCCCAAGTCAGATATATCACTTCTGTATTCCCAAGAGATTTAGTACCCTGCATATAAATGCATATGAATATAATTCAATAGAAATAAAATGAAACTTACCTTGGAAATAATATCAAGGTATTTAACCTGTCATAAAATTAAATCTAACGTGTCAACAGCAAGATCGCCTCACACTTGAAGTTCCCCTGGTCTCTCAGAAAATGCACCTCAATTAGCAACTGCACAAATTAAAATCAAATAAAGTATACAGATTCAGGTCTTAGAAAATATATGTTGTGCATTAATTTAAATTTGGTTGATACAAAATATGTTTAAAAATTTAAAGATGGCCTCAAAGTCACTGTATTTTATCTGTCAATTTAGTCACTGGCCTTTTTCATCTTAGTTTGAACTTGATTTGAGTTCAGATGTACTTTATTAGTTGCTATTGATAGCTGTTACTTGTGTTCTACTGGAAATATGAAGTAAAAGGCTAATGTAATATAATGCATTAAACAATTACTGTTATGCTTGGCCTGCATGTGAATTAACAGAGAATGAATTTCATATAGTATGTGTAGAAATTAAGATATATATTTAAATCCAAGTCACAAACAAATGAATCAAGGCATATATAGGAACCAATCTTAAATGTGTAAATATATTTTATACATACATAGACTAATTTTAAACTCCCAAAACACTACTTACCACCACACAAACTTTCCTTCCCAAATAAACCTACATTTGTTCATAACAGTGAAGTTATGAACTTTATTGTAGAGAAAATAAAAAGGACTTTTGAATAAAGAAATTAGAGTGAAGGAAGTGTGGGCTTAAATTCCATAGAAAGTACTCTGAAGGAAATCTGACTTTTCCCCAAGTAGCTGACTTTGCCCTGAAGTTCAGCTGGAAGTGAGTAATACACGACACTGCTGCCATCTATTGGTAATCGAGTTTCCCTGCTCTGGGGGACGTTTCCAAAGAAGAAACTTTAGTTCCATGATCCTAATGAAGCAGAATCATTCTAATGTAATGTTTGTGATACAAACCAATATTTGCCTGTGAGTTTTGAAATCTTGTATTTCTAATAGTAAGTTTAAATTATAATACATTTTGATCCATGGTTCTAACAAAAAGAACATATTTTTAATAGTGAACTTGCAAAGATGCAAGATCCTGTGCCAAGATGTCTTTGCTATGAAAGTCTGTCCCCTAAGCCATTTCTCTGTCCCTTTGGAACCCTGATATCATCTAATGCAGTGTTTGATAGAGACATCTGGGTACTGGTTACCAGCATCTTGGTGTTATTAGCAACTAAAAAGTCAGAGCTAAAACAAGAAATAATACATTCCTGAATGTTTGACTTGGAGCATAAATGTTCTACATTTAAAACAGAAACTTTTCAGGATTCACGTGTTAGTAAAATCTTAGAAAAGCAAAGACTATGCAGTGGTCTGTGTCAATGTCAGAAACTATAAATCACATATATTTTTCACAGTTATACATTCCTCAGTACAGTTGGCAGTACTTTGATTTGAAAATGGTATTTGAGGGTCTGTTTTCCAATTGAGGAAGCAAATCCTCATTTCTTAAGAAATGTAGATGAATGGATGAAAATGAATAGACTTGTCAATCAATTTACCTATAGATAGAGAGTGCCTTTGCAATCTTCATCACAAGACATTTGAAGTTATGTATCAATTTCCCATGGTAAGTATTTTGAGGTCCATCTTCATCCCACTATCTAATACTTTCCTTGACTCTGCTGACTGCAGTAGTTATTTATGTCTCTGAACTTTAAATAATAAGTTGGACTTTCTTTCCCAAGGCCTAATAAATATGTTCTAATTATTTACCAAAAAATAATAGGCTTTTCAATGGGGATAACAATATTTGAAACTTGGTACATAAGTTTTTCTCATTAAATATGCTGACACTCTACTTGTCTTTGTTTCTCTCCCTGTTCCTGATTGCTGTGGAATACAACCACTCCAGGCACAGGTAAGAATTCCCCGACCTCAGGGCTGTGCTGCTTGTTTTCTGTTTTACCTCTGGTTTTAGAGGATGTATTTTTCCCTACAATGGTCTTTTATCTTTTACATGGAGAAACTATCGTATTTTTCATAAAACTTATGTTCTGAAGTTGTTCCCTGTTTATTCCCTTGCATGCTACCTGTGTTTTCTCATTCTATGCGGAATCAGGGCCCCAGGTGCAGAGTGGGGAAGAAGCTTTACTTAGCACGCCTTGACAGGGCAATGACACCTGCTACTAAGGATCTCATGCTTCTTCTCGGAGGGGGAGTATAGGTACAGGAGCGCTGAAAGTGGGCAGCAGGAGGATGCTCTGAACTGATCTGTATTCACTCCAGTGTCAGACACTCAAATGCAGGACATCAAAGGATTAGGAAAGACTGCATTTCCCCTTCAATTTTTCCCTTCCCTACAAGTTCTAACATAATGTTTTACTCAGTAAAAATGTCATATTTTAAATAGCACCAATGTGAATGTGATCACATCTGACAATAGGTATAGATTCTTACTCTAACAACGCATATTTTTATTATTATTTGGAATAAGTTCACTCTGTCATTTGGGTGCTTAGGCCACTAAACATTACATGAGGGAATAGTCCAAAGGACTGAATAAATCTATATCTTCTGTAATTAGTTACATAAGACACTCATGGGCTATAGTGTGTGTGAAATAAGAAATAGAATAAAAATAAAATAAATAAAAATATAGATTTTGAAATGATTTTTAAAAACATTTTTCTATACTAGTTGAGTCAGCTTTGTTGCGGTGGGTTATGGTCTATTTATTTCTTTTATTTAGTCATTAGTCTCATTGAGAAAAGAACATAATTGTTCATTGTTCCAAAAATCCCAACACTAAACAAACCACCTTGAACTTGGGCCTGAAGTGGATGCCTGCACACAAACAATGTACTTTGTTTGGAGTGGCCCTCGGTGCTTTAGGCTGTAGCTATGAAATAGGAGAACAACTCCACACCTGGGTTCCAAGCCCTAAATGACTGAGGGTTTGTTTAAAGATGTCTTTATTTCATGTATTCATATTTTAATTTAACTTCAAATATGAAACATACAGATATATTTTCATTATTATACATATGTAGTTTTTAAAACCCAATTATATTTATTTGAAAATAGCTATTTGCCCTGGCTGGCATAGCTCAGTGGATTGAGCGCGGACTGCAAACCAAAGTGTCGCAGGTTCGATTCCCAGTCAGGACACATTCCTGGGTTGCAGGCCACGGCCCCCAGCAACCGCACATTGATGTTTCGCTCTCTCTCTCCTTCTCCCTTCCTTCCCTCTCTAAATAAATAAATAAATAAAATCTTTTTTAAAAAGAAAATAGCTATTTTATATGCTTAATTCATTCATTCATTCATTCATTCATTCATCTACCAAATCTCTAACATATGAGTACCCTGGGGTAAGTATTGAAGACACTCAAAACTGTAAACAAGGCCAAAGGCCCAGAAAATTACAATACTTTGTGGCAATGTTGTGGTGTTTGTGGTCTTTGGGTTTCCCAAGTTATAAATCAAGAGGAACTACCAGAAACACTTCTGGACAAATTTTATTAAGCTAAAGCTCCAGCACAAGGGAGGCAGCACAGAGGAAAGGAAGGTCCTCTGAACTGACTCAGGCAGGGCATTGGCTCTGCTTGGTCACTCTTATAAGCTGGAAACAGGCAGGCTTGTGCACAAAGGTGAGCTTTTTGCAAAAGGCAGATTTGAGAAATTTTCCATGTCAAGCTACTTCCTTCTGCTCTCTGGTTGCTTAGCAACTGCCTTAGCACCTGTGGGGGCCAAGATGGCAGACTGCTCCCTTCCGCCACCCCAGGAGGGTCATATAGCAGTCAAACCTTAATCAACTGCATGTGCAGAACAGTGGCTTCCACTTCTACAAGGAGACGAGTGGTTCTAAGGGAGATAAACAAGGCTAGTTCTTCATTCTTGGGTCAGGAAAAGCTGAAGTGAAGGCATTTTTGCAGTCAGCTTATCCTGTGTGCCTTCTGGCCATCTGTCATCCCCTCCATCCCAGGCTCAAGGCTCCGTGCTGTCTCAGTAAGGGTCACTCCAGGGAAGCAGGTCACGTACCAAGTGGGGTCCAGCAGGCCAGATCTACAACTGCAACATAAGGAGCAACAGAATACAAGACAGCCAGTTCTGCCCTTTTGAGTGCTAGAACTCTCAAGAAATTTCAAATAACAATGGAGAGAAATAAAAGTAGCTAAAATAAGAATATAATGATTATTATGATGTCAAGTCTTCCCAGGCACTCTCATCAGAGGCCTGAGAGGAGATCACTGAAAACTGTGTGTGTTTCAGGTGTATGAGGTCGTCCCCTGCCAGAGTGACTGCAACCAGTACTTATGGGTCGCAGAGCCCTGGAGCGTCTGCAAGGTGACCTTCGTGAACACACGGGATAACTGCGGAGAGGGCGTGCAAACCCGGAAAGTGAGGTGAGGCCAAGCCGAATGGCACAGAGGAGCAAAACACACACCACTTCGCAGTTTCCCACCTGCCAATGTGAGCGTTCACTCCTTCCCAGTCTCTTGATAAACTGCCTTTAGCTTTATTTTTAGGGAATCCATGTTCATGGAGAACTCTAAAAGAATCTGCTTCAAGCAGCAGTTTATCATACTCTGCCTTCTGATTTAGGAAGCTTCACTCTGAGGTGCTTTTTCTTGCAAAGAAAGAGTCTCATATTGAGTTTGAGCTGCACCAGTGCAGATTCTCTAACCCTAATATTTTTTTCCTTCAAGTCAAATAGGTTTCTAACTGCATTTTAATGATAATCTGTTATAAACTCTTGGTCCTTTATATAAAACTGGCCAACTTTTGAATACTTCTGTCTTCCAGGAAGGCTTCCCATTGGCTAATGCCTATCATTTCTTCTTCTGTGGCCTCACTATTCGATAGGATAGCCACTAGTCACATTTAGCTATTTTCACTTTTAATTTAAATGAATTAAAATTAAATAAAATTTAAAATGTGTGTTCCTCAATCACAACAGACACATTGCAAGTGCTTAATAGCCACCTGTGGCTGGAGGCTATTATATCAGCACAGAATTTCTGTCATTACAGAGAGTTCTATCAGGGGTATTGTCTGTGGTACCCAGGTAGCCTGCATTGTTTTGAAAAGATCTTTTCACATGACTGTCACTGTTTTACATCCAGAAAGTTTCTCCACACTGAAATCCTGTTATATTTATGGACATTCCCTAACACCTAATAAAAGTTTGACACTCATTAACTTTTCTCTACAGCCTTTGCAGAGGATCCTTAAGGGTTCTAGTACCTGGGACACAAGTCTGTGACTTTTATTATTTCCACTTCATGGAGTAGATTCACAAATACTAACGTACCAGGAACACATATCTAGCGCACACAGTTGGCATTCAAACCCAAGTCTCTCTTCTTTCTTTGTAACTGTACCAGTTTCTTCTAACACAGCCGAATGACACACAGTAAGAGAAGTATAAAAACATACGGAACTTGCCATGCATGTTGTGAAGAAGCTCATTCTCACCCATGACCTAACTTTTCATTAATTTAAGATTCATATTTTTAATACGCTTTAGTAGGAAGGCAGAACCAATTAACATTTGTAGCTTAAAATAGGGGGATATAATGAGTTGAAAGGGAAACAGGGAAGAAAAAAAAATAAGTCCTGTTTTCTGACCTTGTCCTTCAAATTTTAAAATTTCACTTTCAATTTTAAAATACTTTCCTAATATTCAGAATTTGATGAGATTGACATTTTGGTTAGTAAATAAAAGATATAATAGAGAACTGTGGTTCTTTCTGCTTCTCCTTCAACTATCTATGTATATGTTGCTTCTTTTTTTCTCTGTGAATAGATATTCTTAATATTCCCAAACACATCCCAAACTAAGTAACTTTTCAGATCAACTTATTTTTTCAGTAAACATCTTTAACGCAAATACAAAAACCAGAAGATTGGCATTGATTGTGATCTCTGATCAGATAATGTTTCTTTATTGATGGTGTACCTCCCTAACCTTATCCTCAGCTAATTAAGGTCAAAACATCCTTTTTAGATGCAAGACTTGGGTGACATTTTAGGACACATGAGTCTCTCAGAGAGGAGGATTCAATATATCCCATCTTGTCCTTTCTCCTTTTAGAATGGTATGACATTTCAAAGATTGGGTGATAAAAGTGGTTTGCCCTGGTAGAAAGAGTTGTTTTTTTCCACTGGCATTTTTTTTAAGTACCAGCACATTGTGATAATAAACAACAGAGTGATTTGGTTACTTTTATTGTTGCTTTTGAATTCTCTGCTGACAATGTGCCCCCTACTGTAATACCCGTGGTGGGCCTCTGGCCCCACCTTTGGCCTCCTCAACTTGATTCTACACTACATTTTCTGATACAGATCAGTTTTCTTATAGCATAATTCCTTCTCATGTGGGAGGGGAAAAGGCCAAGAACTTGAAAAAAGCAAATGAACTTATAGGGCCTCCCTTTGGCCCTAAAATTTGATCCAAATATTTATCTTCTATTCTAGTGTGATTTTAAAAAATCATTAATACCAAACAAAATAAATAAAACATAAATAATTTGAATGTCAGCATAAGGGTTTTTAGCAATTGTGGCACATTCAAGTGTTGGAATTCAAATGCAGTTATTAAAAATTATATCTTAGAAAAATACTTAACAACATGAGAAGATGTCTATATTACTTTTAAAAATAGTATAGTAGCAGGTAAAGTGCTCTTGAGTTTAATGAAATGAAAATATATGTTTAAATATAACAAACTGTTAAGAGTGGTTATCTCTGATTGAATCATGTGAATTTTTACTATTCTGATATTCTTGAAATGCATATGTCACCTTTATAATAGAAATTAAAAAAAAAGAAAAGCCTTTGAAAATAAAGTTTTATGTACATAACTACATAATAGAGCCTTGACCATCCGTCCTTATCTCCGAATCAATGGGTAACTTTGCAAGTTAACCCTTATACATGGTGTCAGTACCTACCATGAACAATGTCTTTTCTCAGCAGCGAGGCCGACTTCCAGCATGAAGCTGCCCCATTGTCCCATTCCTTCCATGTCCTCTCCACGCTGCTCTCGGCAGATTATTCTCTAAAATCCATTGAAGGTAGAACTTTTTTTTTCTGAGGAACTAAAGTTCTCCCAAAGACATTTATATAATTTAATTTTCTCTTTCAACAATGAAGTCAAATAAATATCTACCTTTGTGGGTTGTTTTTGTGATCGCTCTCTTATGCATTCATGCAGTTTACAACAAAATGCAGAGGAGGGCACAACCTCATTCAGACACGGCCAACAGCAGTTTTCTGGTCTGAACGCGTCTCACGGGAAAACAGCATTTCTCTTAAATCCGGCAGCACTGTATAGAGAGGTTACTCTGCAGCGCAGACGGGAGAAGACATAGTGTCTCTGCTGTTTGAAGAATTCCTGAAAAGAGTTGAGATTTCAGGAATGAGCGGTGATGTAATTCAACTAACAGTTTAAAACGTGTTGGTGGGTTTGAGAGGTCTTAAGAGCTCAAGCCTTCTTCTTCATCTCTGGCAAGGCAGTTCCGTTCCTATGTCATTAATTTGCTTGCCCTTCTCAAGTTAGAAAGGAGCAATAAAGTTTCTCTCTTCCACTAGAAGAGTGCCAGGAGAGGTTAAGTATGGTACACATGAAGCCTGGTACTGGCCACATTAATTAGATTTCCAAGAGGTGAGTAAAGAGTCCTTCATGACTGCTTACACCAGAATGAAATGTGATAAAGTGTTTGAATTTGTTCTGTCAAAAAGAAAACTAACGATAAAAAGGTCAAGAGAGGAGGGTTCAAACAACCCCATTTAGATAATTTGTGCTATTACTATATTATAATTGTCTTTTCACTTCTTGCTGCCCTTAAAAAGTATCAGCAGATGAGAGGGTAAATGCCTTTTTATTTGACAGAACCATTTGATAAATGCCATGGGCTACTTTCAAAAGCACTTTATGAAACCTCACTAATATATTTCAGTGTGCCTACTCTTCCATCATATATGAATCTACCTTCTCTACAGAACCCACCATTTTCTTCAAAAGAAAAAAAATGTGTTTTATTCCAAAATTGTAACCACTCTATAAATCTCTTTGGACCACTCCTCATCAGTCCAGCATCATATATGAGAGTAAATGACCCTCTCCTTTCAGAGGAAGACTACCGAGTTTACATATATACAATGGCCATGATGTTAAAAAATTGTGATGATACCCATAAGCTTAAATTTTAAAATCATACCAAAGCTCTAGTAGTATTTATGAGAGGTAGTAATCATTTTATATATTCATGTTTGAAGAATTGTATTCATTAAATACAGCCCTTTCCACCCCATTCCTGCCAACCCCAGAATGATGTCTTAAGATGAAACACCTCTTTTACAGGTCGGCCATTGTTTTAATCATCCTGGTTCCTTCACTGATAGGCAGGTATGTTTTCTTCTAGATGCATGCAGAACACAGCGGATGGCCCTTCTGACCATGTGGATGATTACCTCTGTGACCCAGAAGAGATGCCCCTGGGTTCCAGAGAGTGCAAATTGCCATGCCCTGAGGATTGTGTGATATCCGAATGGGGACCGTGGACTCGATGCACTTTGGTGAGATGATCGGCTATTTATTAATATAGAGTTTGCTTAGCTCCTTACCACTAAAACTTTAAAGATATTATTAAGAAAATCATAGTTACTAAATTAGTTACTAAATTAATTACCAAAGCAAAGTATATTTTCTTGACTGCTTCATTCTGTGATTGTGACACTTAGAGTCAGCAATATTTCGACTCACACTATAACAGCGAGACCTCTTGCAAGCTTACACCCCTCCACCATCCTCCTTGCCAGCACAAAATGCCTTCAGATGGGCTTATAAACACACAGCAGGTTAAAAACTGCAGTGGTCTTAATGACTCCCTCCAGGTAAAGGGACAAAGAATGAAGCTCTGGTAAAGGCACTTTAATGGTGTTACGTTATTGTCGTCCCTTGCTTTTTGCCCAGTTCATTTTATTTAAATTGTAGGGATAATCTTTCACACAGTGGGGGTCCTGCAGCAGGAGTTTGGACAGTAAAACGCAAAAGATCCTGGTAAGAGAGGGAGTGGGAAGAAGAAAGCAATGCATCCGTGACTCTCTTTCCACACACTGGCTCTGTGTCTCCTCGAGCCTGGGAAGCCAGGGGAGAGTTTCAAATCACACAAAGCTTCTGGATTTCAACAGCCCATAGGTGCTCTTCCCTGGGACCCTGGGAAGAGAGTCATTTGAAACGGAACTGGCTGACGATGTAGAAAATTGGGTTTACCCCTGCGCCCCTTTGTGAAGTTGCACATTTCACAATGGCATCAAAGGCGTAGGGAAAACACATGCAATGTGAAATTAATTTTTTTGAAATACAATATGGGACAGCTTCAAAGAATTTATAACGCATGTTTTCAAGGAAAAATTAAATTTTTATCTCAGGACTAACATTATTAAAGGTGCTGATTAGCAGCCAACTGATACAGCAGGAGCACACACAGGGCTGGCAGTTGACTTGGATACATTTAAATTGCAGTGAAGAATCAGCTGTTTCACAAGGGTATGCAAATGATTTTCTAATGCCATCAACCTCAAGTTTGAAGTTACTGCTCCTGTTCCTGGAAGCCAAATGCTTTCAGAACAAGCCTGTACCAGTAGGAGATTGTAAGCCAGTGTGTTTAAGTGTTGTGTTTTGTGCCTATGTTAAGTGTGCCTAGGAAAGTGAAAGTCACTAGCAGCAGTTATTTAAAGCCACTCTTAAAATGTTTTTTGTGGTACCCAGAGACTGTATTAGATGATAGATAGATAGATGATAGATAGATTATAGAAAATTTCTGTATTACTCATTCACAATAATTAATATTACCATACACATGTGTTTGAGTACATGTGATGTGAAGATTATATCTATTAATATTTGACACATAGATCCTTATGTGTCTTATAGCTACATAGCACAGCAGAAGCTCACACAACACTTTGATCTTATAGAAGAAATGGAAGTGTAATGAGATTGTTCAGGTTAGCCAGTGGCCCCGCGTGCTAACTCCTGCTGCAGTGCTCTTCCTAACACATCAGCCCTCCTGCGGCTGAGTGTTCACCTTTCTGAGGATCCTGTTATTCTCTGTCAGCCTTGCAATCAAAGCAATTTCCGACAAAGGTCAGCGGATCCCATCAGACAACCCGCTGAAGAAGGAAGAGTCTGCCCTGATGCTGTTGAGAGGGAACCCTGCAACCTGAACAGGAACTGCTTCCACTACGATTATAATGTGACAGGTACGTGGACGGTCACCTCCTCACAGAGCTACAGGCCAAAGCCCGTGTGTCAGCGAAGCAGTGTGCTGCATGTTCATCTCTGTGTGCCTTTTGAACACACTGCTTACTCTCCCAGAAAGAATTACTTTTTAAAGATTTTATTTATTTATTTTTACAGAGGAAAAGGAGGGAATAGAGAGAGAGAAACATCAATGTGCGGTTGCTGGGGACCATGGCCTGCAACCCAGGTATGTACCCTGACTGGGAATCGAACCTGCGACACTTTGGTTCACAGCCCGAGCTCAATCCACTGAGCTATGCCAGCCAGGGCGAAAGAATTCTTTAAGTAACAGATATTTAGTATGTATTTTAAACATCAAGATACAGATAATGAAAGTATCACACAAACATTAGCCCTATGGTATATTGTGAATAGTCTAATTGATCCTATTGAAGACATCCTCCCACTTTCAGAAGGTGTAAATTACATGCTTTTCTGCCCTGGCTGGTGTGGCTCAGTGGATTGAGTGCCGGCCTGCAAACCAAAGGGTTACCAATTCGATTCCCAGTCAGGGCACGTGCCTGGGATTTGTGCTAGGTCTCCAGTAGGGGGCTTGTGAGAGACAACCACATATTGATATTTCTCTCCCTCAAAGGTATAGATAAAAAATGGATAGATGAGTATTTTTTTCAGGAAAAAAAAGGCTTATTATAAATTCTCTTTGTTCTCCCTCTCATTTCCTACCATCAAGGCACATACTGTAGGAAAGAAGAGTTTGTTGGTTTGTATGACGGGGAAACACTGAAGCTTATTTTAGAACTTTTTCAAGTAATATCCCCAGTGATACAAACTACAGAAACTGTAGAGTGATACACAGCAGTCAGGTTGGCTTTTGTTTCTTTTGACTCTTCTCTTTAGTTTTCATTGATGACACAAGGAAATCACAGTTCTTTGAGGTAAACTATGTTACTCTAAAAAGGAAGATGAAAGAATTATTTTGACAAAGACATGAAATAAGAGAATTAAAGAAACATGAGCACAGTGATTTTGAAATAAATGCATCTTTTAAAACATTTTAAATATGTAAGTAAGCGACATACAGTGTCTTGTTTGAACATAGCCCAGTTAACGTACTATTCATTAAAATTATTGTTACTTTGCTAAAACAAAAATAATGCTAAAACTGAAATTTCTGCTTTTATAGAAAAAGTTTTTAAGTGAAATTTGATCTACAGGCCAAAGCCATTTTTAAAATATCAACTGGCTGTAAAGATTGTCAAATGGACATCTGCCTTCCAGAATAATCCCTGTGGTTCTGTGCAACCCCAGCGATTCTGTTTGACTCCTGAAATGTTCAGAGCCGGGACCCTTGTTCTTTGCGTGTAGGATGATTGTGCAGCTTAGAAGCAGTTGTGAATTAAATACGGAATCTGGGCCATTTAAATATGGAGCTGCATCTGAAATCTGCGTCTCCTGTGGCTGTCCATTCTGACGGGCTCCCTTCCTTTCAGATTGGAGTACGTGTCAGCTGAGTGAAAAGGCAGTTTGTGGAAATGGCATTAAAACAAGGATGCTGGACTGTGTTCGAAGCGATGGCAAGTCTGTTGACCTGAAATATTGTGAAGAGGTGAGGGGATGCTGTGTTATATCTTTGTGAGTAATTTCTTTCCTAATAATTTCAGTTCATGCTGAGCCAGATGACCTGTGCTCCATGCGGCTCATTGCCAGCAGATGTTTTTCTGCACTATTCAGAGGCTGTTAAGCACCCTCTTGAAAAGAGACACTGTCCAATCCTACTGATTTCTGCACATAATTTCCTGTATTTTGTTCTGCTTGGAACCCAAAGGTATGCTAATTATCCTTCTCTGAAAGAAATGCTTGGGAAACAATAAGTAATCAAGGTGAATATGGGCAATAAATCTTAATCAGACTACTCATCATCTTTGTAATTTCATTTGAATTTTGTGTTGCCTGGGACACCTGCCAAGTTCCATCATTCATTCTCTCTGTTGCTAAACATTGATCGCATGTGGTTTGGGAGCAGATTTTGATATTAAGATCTAATACCCAGCTGTGAGAGTCCAAGTACTCAGGTGTGGATAAGAGAAATTCAAACAAAGGAATGGAGTCTGCCATTAGTATCTTTCAGGTACAGAGTTGCAATTCGTAATACTTCAATTTATAAAAGTAGTGTCATCATTTCTAGATATGATCTTATGAACTGTGAGGAAACAGTTGGCCTTTCTTAGTTTTCATGAAGCTACACTTGGTGTTTGAATTATTTTGTCTGATTTCCAAGCCAAAAGGGTACGTCACACTCCTGACAGGTTTCGACTCCTCCTGCATCTGAGACCCACTGGGTTAAACATGAACCAAGATAAACAGAAGCCTCAGGAGATCTAGAACACACAGTTAGAGCTTATAACCTCATTAGGGTTCAGTAGACAAGGTGACCACAACTTCTGTTTGCATATCCTGGCGGTTATTATAAGCCCATAGTAAATTGTTCCAACCCCTGAGGGAAAAGTTAAGATAAAAATGTATTAATTCATTTGATATCTTTATCATGTAGACCTAACTTAAGTTCCTTATATCTCTGTCCGTGTGAACATGTGAACACAGCTCCCAAATGCGCTGAAGATAAGTTGTTTACTTAATAAATTTATTTTATTATCATCCTGTAACATAACTTAGTCCATTCATACTTTCAATTTAATTAGAAATTTTATACCTGAATCAATGTTGAAACTAATAACATTGAAGTAATATACCCATTATAACAATAACATTACTATTAATGAATATTACTATAGTCATACACTGGCTGGAGAGCTTTCTGCGATCTGCTTCTAGTCAATTAATATGTCTCTTTTGTTGCAAATTCACATATTAATGCCCTCCTGAGTCAGAGTGAAATATACAGTGATAGCTGTAAGAGCTTTCTGAAAGCCAAACCCAATCAGACCAATTTTCAAATAGCTCATATGACTGCAGCCAGCACAAAGGTATAGAAAGGGTCCTTTATTTCTTAAATAAAATTTGAATAAAAACTTGACAAATAACTAATTTTAAGTACCCAGGAAATTAGATAAATGTACTCTGTGTACAGATATTTTTATGTTTGAATGCTGCAATGACAATTAGGAATTTAAATCATAATAGTCTTGCAAACACTATCTTCAGGGAGAAGAGTACTGTTCTCTGCAGGAATTGGATTAAACAACTCATCCCATTTTCTCCATCCCTGTGGATACAGTAGGATTGAATAATAGCCCTGAGAGAAGCTGGCTATCTTTTTAACAATGGAGTGATTGCCTGCCTACTAACACATGTGTAAACCCTGCATTCAGTGCAACAGCAGTAGATAACTCTCACTGTTTCTCTGACAGCCAAGAAGAAAGATGGCATTGCTACCCAACAAAGAGGATAATTGGGGTTAAATCCATCCAGTATTTATATAGTATTTTTGTCTTTGATGTTTTTCAGACATTTACTCACCCGATGATACCTAGTAATTGATTTCTCCTTTCCTATTCCTTGACCCCTGAGTATGTGCTTAGATAGATGGTTGATAGATAATTGATAGATAGATAGATAGATGAAAAAAGAGATACCATAAATGTAAGGAAAAAAGTAGTAAAGTGCTAAAAGGTCTCAGAACTGCATACCCAGAATATCTGTCAACAGACATCCTTTATGATAAATAAGTTAATAGTAACTCAATTCTGTGATTCCAACCCTCTCTCTATGATGCTACTATCTACCTAAACAGAACACATTATTTTTATCATGTCCCCTTAAGACTTTAATCTTCAATCTCTCATGACTTTCAGTGACTATGAGACTTTACATAGTGACAAGTGAAAGTGTTCGTATCAAATACTCTCACCTTTGTCAAGCAGTCATGGCCGAGAATGTGTGGCAGTCCATGCAGAAGGTGTAGTACACATGTCATCAACCTGACCTTTTCTCAGTGGACAACTTAGAGCCAAGAGCTGTCCTTGAACCAGAACAGCAGTTCAGAATTTTTTCTTTTGCCATGTTCCAATATACAAATTAGATACCATAAACTTATATTTCATGCAAAAATAAAAAAGCTCTTGATAATCCCAAGGATTACCAATTTAATAAATCATATTCTCCTAACATGCTCTTAAATTTTTCTATTTCAATGCTAGTTTGTATCTCAGACTTTTTAAATGTTTTCATATACAGTAGATGAGTTTGAAATGTCATCTTGTATTTTAAAAGAAGAATACGTAAGTAAGTATTGAAACTCAATGTCAATACAAGGGCACAACATTATTTGATGAGGGACTAACACTAAAATAACTGAATTATATCACAGTTAGCTTGTGATATAGTTTTAGAAGAAAAATCTTTGTAATTAAAAAACTATATATAAAATACTAATAACCAAAAATTCTAGTGATTTGGATTTTCTTTCAGAAAGATAGCATACTTAAAAACTGATATATTATTTCAATACATTATAGCATTAGTTTTGATTGGCAATTTGTCTTTAAAATTTCTCCCATTTGCTTTTAAGTTTAATATGCACATATAAAAATGAGTAGTATCCCAAAGATACAACTGTAGATCTGTATATTGATGACATTCGTGGTTTTTAACTAATGGAAAGTAATCATGCTTACCCTTATTTATTCATCACTTAGAGAAACCCAACCTATTTGGAGATTAAGTCTACTTTTATTTATCGCATATTTTAAAAGTTCAACATTATAGAAGTGTATTGAGTAAATTGGCTCCTCCATTCATCCTGTGCCCTTTGCTCCCACTCTCCTGGGTTGATCGACTTTATATTTTTAACAGTTTGCACGTTTGTCTTCCAGATATCTTTTTATTCTTTTACTCATCTTGCTTATTCTTTCTCTCTTCTCCTCTCCTTTCCTCTCATCCCCACTCCTATCTGTGCCTTTCTCCCTCCCTCTTCCATCAACCACACATGGTTGCCATGCCTTCATGTTCATACAAACGGATGTGCCTCTGTCCTTTCAGCTGGGCCTTGAGAAGAACTGGCAGATGAACACAACCTGCATGGTGGAATGCCCTGTCAACTGCCAGCTTTCTGAGTGGTCCACGTGGTCAGAATGTTCGCAAACATGTGGCCTCACAGGTTAGTTTGTACCTTAATTAGCATTAGGCGAATGGTCACAGAACATGAAATAAAATGTCCCTCTTGCTTTCAGTCACATCAGATAGTCTTCAGCGAGGTCGACCCTGGGTGTCTTTCTTTCCAAACATTTGAGACTGACTTGTTCTTCGCATCTCCTCAGGAGAATTGCGTGTGGTACCCTCTCCCAATGATGTATACTTGTACAACTGTAACATCTCACAAAAGCTGCATCCCTTTGTATCTCTTAAAGGAAAAATGATCCGAAGACGAACAGTCACCCAGCCCTTTCAGGGTGATGGGAGGCCGTGCCCAGTCCTGATGGAACAGTCCAAGCCTTGCCCAGTAAAGCCCTGCTATCGGTGGCAGTATGGCCAGTGGTCTCCGTGCCAAGTGCAGGTACCAAATCTCAAGCAGTTTTATGGAAATGTGCATTCTTTAGCACTTGGTTTTATAGTTGTTTTGCAGAGCTTACACATGGCATGCTTCCTCTTCAAGATGTTAAGTGCCTAGCTATTTCATAACTAGTTTAATTAGTTTTGATAACAAGCCCTCCCTGTCCTGTATTTTAAACATCATTTGGAGACTGATTCACTTAAATGAAAATGTATTTGCTTGTCTCTAGCTAGAAAACAAATAAATTGTTCATTGTAGGTCCCTGTAGGACTTCCCTAGGGTTTCAAATGCTGCTTTAACTGCTCATAAATCAAAATCAATGATGCAGAGATGACTGTAAGTGATGAGCTCACTAATGAATTATTTTTCTTTTCCTAATTAGTTATGCCTTTCTTCATTCCAGGATGCCCATTGTGGAGAAGGGACCAGAACAAGAAACATTTCTTGTGTAGTGAGTGATGGGTCAGCTGATGATTTCAGCAAAGTGGTGGACGAAGAATTCTGTACTGATGTTGAGCCCATTATAGATGGTAATAAAAAAATGGTATTGGAAGAAACCTGCACCCAGCCTTGCCCAGGTAACAACAGCAAAACATGATTTATATTTTGATCAGTTCTTACCAGGACCCGGGTGGAGAGGGATTGCATGTGTGGTCTGAGTTAAGGCATGTCGGCAGCCCTCTTGTTCAGTGATACCTGTGCCGACAGCTGGACACTGCAGTGTGGACGAATGGGGGGCACCGCCTCCTCCGCCAGGTGGGGTGAATCCAGGTCTCTCGTGTGGCTGCTGTGACACACACAAGTTTTAACACCTGCAGAAGATGACCATTAAGGCTGAGACTCATGCTTGACAGGGAAAGACTGAAAGAAAGTTTGAGAAAATAAGCATACAACATACATCTATTTAGGATGTCTAGAAGAAAAGAATAGAAAATGAGAGGCGGCATTTAAACATAACCAGCGAAAGAAAAATTGAAGTCCTTATAATGGAAGCTTACTCTGGGTCTTAAATAAAATCAACACCTGGCTAGCATAGCTCAGTGGATTGAGTGCGAGCTGCGAACCCAGGTGTCGCAGGTTCGATTCCCAGTCAGGACACATGCCTGGGATGCAGGCCATGACCCCCAGCAACCGCACATTGATGTTTCTTTCTCTCTCTTTCCCCCTCCCTTCCCTCTCTAAAAATAAATAAATAAAATCTTAAAAAAATAGAATCAACAATGAATTCATACCTAGATACATTGTAGTTACAATAGAAAATGCCAAAAAAAGAATCATTAAAGCATTCAGAAAAAATAAACAGATTACCTGCTTTTGGAAGACAGAATTAGAATTATAGCAGAATTCTCAGTTACAGTGAAATCCAAAAGACAATGGGATATACAGCCATGGGTCAACAAAAGTAGTACAGTCTGAGAAATGCATCACTAGGAGATTTTGTCATGTGTATACCATAGCAAGCACTTACACAAACCTTGATGACACAGCCTTCTATACACCCAGAGCCTGTACCCAGGCTCTATGATACAGCCTATTGCTTCCAGGCTATATAAGCCTGTGCAACATGTTGCTGGAGGAAATTATAACACAATGGTGTTTGTGTATCTACACATGGAAAGGTACAGTAAAAGTGCAGTATAAACAATTAAAAATGGTACACTTATGCAGTGCACTTACCATAAATGGAGCTTGCAGGGTTGGAAGTTGCTCTGGGTGAGTCAGTGAGCAAATGTAAAGGCCTAGGACATTACTGTCCACGACTGTAGACTTTATGAACACTGTCCCACAAGCCCTCTCCCTGCTTCCTTCGGACAGGGTCGGACATAGATTATTGTAATTGTCAGTGCTGCTCCATAAACAGGCATGTAGGCTGAATTGATTGGAAATATCGAGGAGAAACTGACCGGGCAAGGCATAGGTACCATAGTAGTGGCTGTTGTGGGGAGTGAATGGTGGCCTAAGGGTCAGGAGGAATAAGACATACAGATGGAGAGATGAAGGATCACAGGGGACCGCCATGGCAATGTGGTTCTGGCTATTGCATGTTGGGGCAGTGGTCAGATGAAGAAATTCTGTGGTATTTACAAAAATAGAGGGCCCTTAACATGAAGGGGGCTGGAACCAAAGACTCAAATATTTTGACGTAGGAAATACGTTCTTGGTTCTGTTGACCTTATCTACACAGACGGCTCTCTCCGGCATTGAATTGGTGGAAGAAGTAAAACTTATCTATGCTTTACATTATTACAACCTGGAAATATTTCCAAAGTACAGGGACAGATTGGCTCCACACTACCACAGAAAGCTTGTTACTAAGCATCAATGGCACATGATTCTTGTTTAAAGGTAGCTGCCGTGGACCTGTGTCCTTATATAAGACCATAGGAATTTACAACAGTGTACTCTGAAGACTCATCAGGCTAGATCTGGGAGGGATGTAGTGCCCCCTGAATATATAGCACCGGGAGTACAGGATCCTCTGGGCTGAAACAGGTAGCTGATTGTTTGGGGTGTGATCTGTGTTCTCAAACTTGAGGTGCTATGAGTGAGAGGGAATATATTGTGAAGCCCCACAGATATTTGTTTCTGTGATGTTTCCCCCATCAGGGAAAACAAATTCCTCCTGAATTATATATCCTTCCATGTCTTACAGGAAATTCAGCTCCATTAAACTCTCATGGGACCACTATCGTATATGTGGTCCATAGTTGACTGAGCCATTGTCCTGTAGTGTATTACGATATTTGAAATGTGATGGAAAATAATCATCAACCTAAAATTCTGTTCCCAACTAAATTATCATTCAAGAGTGAAAAATTATATTACAGATGAAAATATTGAAATAAATCACTCTGACACGAGGTTAGATGGGAAGCGTGTGTGCAGTAAAATGTGGAAAGCAAATGTTGTCTGTCAAATATTAAAAAACTAATCAGAAGACAGTGATAAGCTAATATTGAAGAATTTGGACTTGATTCAGAGAACTTCAGGATAGATGTAAGGTCAAAATAAACTCAATGTCAAGTATTAGCCTATGGCCTTGAGAAAGACATGGAAACAACAGCTGATTAGCAGCCTAGAAGAGATCAAACTTGAAAGCAAATTACCTATAATTTATTCTCAAATGGAAAATTTTCCCTATTCACTTATAATAATGACAGTAAAACACACTTGTTTGAGAAATGTTTCACTTTGAATAAGACATCAAAAAATAAAAAGGATCTGGCAAACAAATACTGACTGGGCATAAAATAGACTCTCTATACAAAAAGAACATAATGATAAATTTTTAAGGATGATAATATATTTTTAAAAAATTTTTAATGGAATTAAGTTACTCAAAGCTGGAAAACTTGACAACATGGGTCTCCCACCCATTCACTCATCAAATTACTTGTTCTTTAATAAGTAAACTATTTGAGGTGATAATAATGACAGTTTCTATAGTTTGTTTTTAAGATGAACTTAATAAATTGAACAAAGCAGTAAATAAAATAACCCCTAATACCTTGAGCTATATGCTAGACCTTGAGGGCATTTCTCACTGTGTATATTCACCTGTAATAATAGTTTTTGCACACACTGATATTTTCATCTACTAAAGGTTAAGAAATAATCTCTTTTTAAAATTTGACTTTCTGGACTGAGGCCAAGTGTTGCTTCTTAGACATTCCCACACCTGCCAATAATGACCTTTCCCTGATCCAGCAATTTTCCTGTTCCATTTCCTGCTCCCCCAACTGGCCTGATTTCAGGTCAGATGTCACACACAATCTAATTTAATAAAGCCACTTGGCATCACAGCAGGCAGAGGTTGAGGCTGTGACAGCAGGTCTAAGGACTGGGGCCACGGACTCAATCCTGGGTCTCTGATGTGTGGAACGGCCACATTGTCAATACAAGTTGACCCAAGGTAAAAGTTGGAAGACCTACCTAGTCCAACGCCAAATCTTCAGTGCCAGTAACAGCATCATTGTGACGCTCCCAACATTGAGCAGAACTGGAATCCTTGCCAAGCATTGGCCTATGCTTTATTGTGAAGTCTCCCCATTAGTTTTCATTATACATCCTGCAGCACAATTACCCACCTGATAATTTATCAAGTGTAATTGTAGGCTAGACCCTGGGCTCAAGTTGGGAGATGCAGTGGGAAGCAATCCTACCCTGTCCTCAATGAGTTTACCATGTTATGGAAGAAAGAGCTGCTAATCCAATAATGACAAAAATAAACATAAGATTATAATCTGTGGTAAATGGTGCAAAGGAACACTGCAATATTCGATAATAACATAGAACGGGGCAAACACACTGTTCTAATGAAAGTGATTACAAATCTGGGAGGAAGTGCTTCTCCTCCTGTAAATTACCATCTATTCATTTCAGTTCCTCTCCTGATAGTTTCCTTCAATAATGGGCTTTGAAAGTGAGCAGTATGTGAACTAATAAGCCTTAAAGAATAAGATACTGAAGGAAATGCATTTCATATACTTAATTGTCATATGTTTGGCAGGCATGGTGTAATTTATCATTGCAATGGCTTATACAGTCAGAATATAAAAGTATGTTTAGTACCAGGCAGTGCCTCACTCACATTTGCTGTTATTGAACCTCTGAAGCCTGACATGGATTATTTGGCGGTGATTATGATACAATTCACAGACCATATTAAACAATTTATTGAGTTTTATCACAAAATACACTATGTCAAGTGATATAAGCACAGAGTTTATAAAGCTTATTAGTAGAAAGATATGTTTTATTTCTATGTAGTTTGCAAGCATTGAGGTGCAGTTATATACATTCATGTTTACAGAAAATTTTTAATTTTAATAATTTCTCCTGCATAATTAAAAATTGAGTTAATCAGAAGTAACATTTCCTATGGAATAGAAATATTCCTAAAATGTTATCACACTACTTAAAAATTCTTACCCGTTTTTTTTCCTTAACACTTTCAAATCTTACAAGAATTTTCTACACCGCAGCATAACATTAGAGTATTAATGAGGCACTATAATAAAAGCCTACAGGAATTACCCCACTTTACTATTGTTTGTATGTGCTAGTCAATAACTCATGTATTTCTAGGATTTCTTAATCTTGGCACAAGTTTTTTTCATTAATCAGGTATCCGGGCAACTTTTTGTCAATATTAGACAACTTCAGCATAACATAAGGCTGTATGAATTATTCATGCGATACGGATAGAATAATTAAAATAAGAACCCTCATGGGCTTGTCTGTCATCATTTACTGTAGCCTCCGCACAGCATCACCAAGCAGTCAGTCCTAAAGGAAGGATGTGCACACGGGAGAGGCGCCTTCATTAAACCTCCCCTGTTCTCACAGTGGCTGAAGATGGTGATGTCAAACATATGGTGCACAGTGTCCCAGCGGTCCCACTCTGGGTGTGTACCCAATAGAAGTACACATGTATAACTTCACCAAGAGATTCAGACTGAAATGTTCACAATAGCAGTATTCATGATAAGAAAAAGGTGCAATTGTCCACCTGCCCATTAATAGTAGAATGGATATCTAAACTGTGGTAATTGATACAATGAAAGTAAATTACAGTGATAACAATGAACGAGTTAGAGCTACATATGTCCATGATGGATCACACAAACATCAATGAGTGAAAGAAGCCAGACATAAAACATACATATGGTGTTATTCCATATATAACATGAGAGGGGTTTCTGAGATTCTGAGAATGCTCTGTTACTTGATTTGAGTGTTGGTTACATGGGTATATAATGAGGTTGTGAGAACTCAGCTATCTGTGTGTTTATGATATGTGCACATGGCATGCATATTTTTCTTCAATCAAAAATCAACAACAAGGGAAAGTGGAGTGAAATTGTAGATCAAGGAAACAGTGTGTGTTATCGCCACTACGACGGCTGCTCATTTGGCTGTCTCGCCTTCACACCCCTGGGAAGAAATAAGAATAAAGCATAAATACCAGCTTCCTCAGACTTGGACTTCAAGCTTTTTTGAAATTATGAATGTTTAGAAGACAACTTCTATGTATAACTAGATTTTCTTTGAATAATACAAAGTGTTTAATAAACCTCTTTTCAATAATGATAAGTGGTAGTAGGTTTTCATCACATACTTGTTGTCTCTTAAGAGGAGGGGAATTGTACAGACAAGCTCCTTCCAGAGACAGTGTACATTTGACATTGTTTCACAACACATATTCCATGCCAGTAACATACACTGAGAAAAGATAACAATATTAATACAAACTTATAAAGCTACATACAAATTTGCAAACATCAAATACTTATCTAAATTTACAAGTAGTGTGTATGACTGACATGCATGCAAACATTTCCAGCGGGGTTAGAAATAAAATGACTACCTGACTGGCTATTCTTTATGGGTAAGGGTAGAGTAAGGGTATCAAGTACACACCTGTGTTTTGCAGGCGACTGTTATTTGAAGGACTGGTCCCCATGGAGCCTGTGTCAGCTGACCTGTGTGAATGGTGAGGACCTAGGCTTTGGCGGAATACAGGTCCGCTCCAGAGCGGTGATTATACAAGAGCTAGAGAATCAACACCTGTGCCCAGAGCAGATGTTGGAAACAAAATCATGTGATGGTAAGAACTACAATCCATGAAATATCATTTTAGTTTTGTGTGGATAAATAAAAGCACAAAATATTGAATTTTCTATTAAATAAGCACATTTTCCAAGCTCTCACTTAAGGTTGAGAATTGAATTAAAGGTGTGATTCTGAATTTTAACGATTTGGAGGGAGAAATATCTCGCCACCCTTAATAGATATGCAATATTGTGAGAATGCCTCCCAGTTTTATGAGCTAAAGGAAGCTGACACAATTAGGAGCTCCTTGTTTGTACATCTGTAACAATCTTGATCCTGTGTGAATCTAGAAATACACTCAGTGCATTTAAGTCAAAAGAAAGAGCAAGTAAGAATTATAGATTTATAGCAAAATGAGACATTTTACTAAAATTTCAGAAATTGATAAAACAAAGTACTGGTAAGAATTATTCTAAATTTGACATAAACCTATTTGAATGTACATATGTATATGTCTGTAGGTACATCTGTAACTCATATGGAGCCATGGACCAAGCATAAGCAATGCATGACATTTTTGAGAACCATAGAATATTAAAATGTCATAGTTTGGAAACACAGAAGAAGTACAAATGAAAACAAAAGAATTGCTGTCTAGTTTCTCACCAAACAACCCTCTCCTTCCTACCGGTGTTCAAAAAGAAGGACAGCAAATAGGAGCCGAAATACCACATTTATTAATGAAAAGCTGGAGGGGAAAGCTTAGAAGTTGGAGTAGAGTGCTTAGAATAAAAGCCAAATGGTCTAGATGACTTAATCCAAGAAATAGATTATCTGTTTTGTCAGTTAAATCTCCCCAAACTTGCCAAATAAAACATTCCTTATGTCCTGGGACAGGGCAGGTGAAGAAGGGGTGAAAAGTCAGGCATTAAAATAAATGAAATAATTCCCAAGGAAAAAAAGAGAATTCTTTACTCTAAAATAAGAATGAAATAAAATTAGACATCAATAACATTACAAGTGAGAAACAAATACCCCCCAGGTTTACAGGTTTTCATATTGAAAATTACACAAAAATTAATCAATAATAATACCAAAATATACTCTGTGTTTGACATACTGACAACTATAAACCTCCTTTTGCCCCACCCATTAAGAAAATCCTACCTTACACAGATGTTACATACACATGCTCAAAGAATATCAATGTCTCCTATGGTCCCTGGACCATACTTTGAGAGTTGCTATTCTAGAATAAAGAATTCACATAATTCAGTAAGAAAAAGCATAGATTTCAGTAGTAAAAAAAAAAAAAAGAGAGAGAAAAGGCCAGAAGATATATGAGGTCTGTCAGGAAAAAGTCCAGCCATTGTTAATATCATGAGAATGGTTTGCCTAACATTGATGTAACCTGGCAGCCAAGGAGAGTGGGCTGGAATGCGCATGTGTGAACAGTGATGACTTCACTGTACTAGTCGCTGGGGCTGATAGATGCTGTTGAGTGACGAAGAACCAGGAAGCTTAGCTCACACAAGGTTGACCACTGAGGCATTTGTTGTAGCAGCAGCAACTGAAAACAACCTAAAAGTCCCCCTTTAGAGGAAACAGCTAAATAAATTATAGTAATTAGTACCGGGGAAGTCTAAATAGAAGTTAAAATAAACCAGCTATATCTGTGTTAAAATCACATGGAGATATTTTTATCAGTATCACTGGCAAGTTTTAGAATGATTCAGAGTATACTTTTTAAATTTTAACACTGACTAAAAATAATAGCTTATATCATTTATGGACATAGATATTTTTATTTGTATATATTTGTAATAGAAGAATAGTATTTTGTAGTAAAAGAATATTCAGAATAGTGGGTATTGCTAGACAGGCATGGAGAGAGGTCAAATCAGAAAGGAACATAATAGGACATCAAGTTTACATTATTTTTTTACTCATTAACAAGTGAAAAAAACTAAAGCAAATATGGCTAAATGGTAACATTTGTTAAACAGTATGATGGGTGATTGAATACATTTATTTAACTATTTCCCATCCTTGTCTATAGGTTTGATATTTCATAATATTTTAAATAAAACACAAAATTAAATTTAAAATACAGGTTTATATTAGATAGTGTAATAGCAGATATGGAAAATCAGCTGAGACTTAGATATATATCTGGAATTTTGTAGTCTATGTCAGAACACTATATTGACACTTGAATCATTTGAGGTGGACTTACCACTTTTCAATTGGTTATAAATATTTAATCAACACTCTGTCACCATGATTATCCCTCCGGACAGCAGAGTGCTTCTGTTAACATTTGCTGTGTCCCGGCAGATGGACAGTGTTATGAGTACAAATGGATGGCCAGTGCTTGGAAAGGCTCTTCCCGCACAGTCTGGTGTCAAAGGTCAGATGGTGTCAATGTAACAGGTAAACCTCCAGTTTCTCTTCGTTCTATGAAAGTCTTCCTGGAACCCACATGTAATAGGTTAAAGAAAATAATTGAGACAACAAAGATAGTCTTTCAGTATTCAACACAGGGTTGGATTCAGGACACCTGAGCTGTATACCTGTCTGGTGACCAATGAGACATTATTTTATTGTTTTAATGTTTCAATTAAATTTTCCCTCACCTTCACTATAGGCTAAAAATAATTTTTTTGTTGACTGTATCAGTTTCTGTGACTTAAAAGGCAATACACACACAGACCAAAAATATTATCAAGGGAACATGATTATACAAGTCATAATATTTTTTCTTGAATTCAGAAATCTATGATTTATAGTTTTTATTAATAGGGATGACCTGTTGCCACATCTCTAGCCCAGAGCATCTGAGCAGCTCATCTACTCTGTCACCACACAAAACTTATTATATATCTAAAGAAGTCCAAATGACAAACTTTTTTGAGTGTCCTTTCTGCCCAAATTTACTCCAAGGAGCTACTCTAATCTGCAGTTATTAAGTTTCCTTATCTGAGCCCAGTAAAGCAGGGGATCCCAAGGATCCCTTTGAAGAGGAAAAAAACTTGGCTCCTGATACTTAGTGAGTTGAGCCACCCTGCCAGTTTCCTAGAAAGGTCGGAACCAGAACCTCAACCTCAAGCACATGGATGCAAAGAACTATTGTCTCTTAATTTATTTATTTTAAAAATGATTCCATTGTTTATGCTGTTACAGTTGTCCCAGTTTTCCCCCCTTTGTTCCCCTCCACCCAACCTGCCTGCCCCCCACTTGCATAGTCAGTCCCCACACGGTTGACCGTGTCCATGGGTCCTTCAGATGCGTTCTTCAACTAGTCCCTTCATTTTCTTTCCCTTGGTCCCCAGCTTCCCTCTCCCCTCTTACAGCTGTCAGTCTGTTCCATGATTCTGGGCCTCTGGCTCTGTTTTGCTTGTTTTTATTTTGTTCATTAGATTCCTCTTATTACCATAGCATAGCAGCAGCATGAGTATTGACAGAGAACTGTTCAGGGCGACCTGCTGACTTACTGCCATTGCTTTGACCCTTTGACAGGGAGAAAAATGTAATGTGCATTTGGGTGCCTCTGAGTGCGTCCATTTATAAATTTAGCTGTAATACATACAGTAAGATAACAGGAGCAGGGATCAATATGCTTTTTGGAAAGCATCAATTCTTATATTGAATTTTAAATTACCTGGATTTATTGAAACCTAATTCCTTATTTCCTCCCTATGAAAGCTGGGGCAGGATGTCAAATTGTATTCTTGTGAAGATAAGATATATTACATGAGAAATCTGTATCAAGAAGCCCTTGATAATGGCAGCTCCCAGTGGACACATGCATAACAAAGAACAGACACCTCCCAGGAAACGCTTCACTCTCTCACAGTATTCTGTTCTGGGAGAAAAATGTGTTCCACCCACATCACTCTGTGAGGCATGGTGGGGACAGCGCTGTGGAGGGGAAGTGGAGGCTCTCTGAACTGGAAGCATTGTGGAGGCGGGCCACTCAACTCAGGAGTTGAAAACGAGCATCTACATTCATCTTTAAACTAGTCTGAAAGAACTTTACGGCTTCCCTAGGGGGTCCTATTAGTTTTCAGTGTTTTTTTTTTCCTCCCAAATAAGGATGCCAATTATACTTATCTTCCTTTTCTTCTGCATGTTAAATCTCTTTGCCTCTGAAATTGAGGCTATTCCCCAATGCAAAAATAAGTCAAATTTCAAAAGATACACTCATAGAAATCATATTTTAATTTATTTTTAATGCAGTATAGTATGTAATGTAGTTATATCTTAATACCATTGGATACCAAAAAGCCAGCATGTAAATGATTTGTGATAAACTTTCTATGCATTCCTTTCTCATCTTTTAGGAGACATGAGATTCTTTATGAGAAATAGTCAAGCATGTAAAGTATACCCCCTACCTTGATGGATTGCTTTAATGTTAGGAATAGTTATCCTTATAAGAAACTCGGGCTGTTGTTTTCCTTTTTCCTCATGTGTTTAATAACAACTTCAAAATTGCCATTTAACTGCAACTGCTTTGCAGTAACTAACTGCTTTCCATAACGTTTTTCCTAAGAATATTTTGTTTATGGTATTTAAGGCAAAGAATTATCAATAGTCACCTCTGAGAAATTCCACAGAATCATCAATTCTATAAATAAAGAGAAAACTTTGCAAAAATTCTGTTAAACTGAACAAGGATGGTTTGACAGTATGAGCTCCTTCCACATCACCAATGTTGTTTCTTTATGACATCTGTTCCTGTCTCAATGTGACAGTGTAGGCTTACTTGGTACTATGGTGAAGAAGCAAAGGGATCAATAGAGAGCTGCAACATTGGGGTAAAACAGCTGTGCAAGCACCCACTTAGTAGCTACACTTGTTTAATTTCCTCTTCCCCCTAAATCCTGAATTAGCAGGAATAGTGGTTTTTCAAAAAAAAGAAATACATATTATAAAAATGTATGAATGTGGTATCCCATAAATTAAAGAGACATCTCAAAGGAGATGAAAACTGTTAATTTAAGTAGCTGAGAAAGAATTTTAACTGTAAAAGAAAATGAAATCCTTTTTTTTTTAGTGCTGGACTTAGTCTCAGGAACAATGGCAGAAATAGCTTGTGTCACACTCAGGATTTTCATCATAGCAACTATCGGATCATCTATCCAGCAAGCGCTTGTAGGACACCTGCCAAATGCCAGGCACGGTGCTGTCTCCTCTAAATAGAAAGGGCCTCAAGTCCTTAAATAAAGTGGTCAAGGTTAACCAAGTATTTCATACTCAACTGCCCTCAGAAAAATCTGTGGGATGCCCAAAGCGGTGTAGGATTCAAAGGCAAGCCTATAACAACAGTGTATTTTTATCATTGCAAGAAGTACTCCTTGTCAAAACACGGTTTTCTGTTCTGCAGGGGGCTGCTTGGTGGTACGCCAGCCTGACGCTGACAGGTCTTGCCACCCACCGTGTAGCCAACCCCACTCATACTGTAGCGAGGTAGGTCTGAATTCATGAGGGTGCATGAACCAGCCTCCTCAGTCCTCACCTCTCTGCCTCTTGTGCAATCATTTCCCTTTAACGAAACCATGTCTGAGGCATAAAAATGCTATTTTGGGACCAACCCTTTATCAATATAAACAATTCTGCATGCACTTGCTTCTACTGTTAGAATAAGTTTGAGTGCAGTACAAAGAGTATGTTTTTTTTTTTATGTACTTAGGACAGGAATTACATGTAGCAAATCCCCAAAACAATACTTATTTAAAGTCTCCTTTTCAAGTCAGTTCTGTTATGCTTTCAAAAATCACCTTGTGCACAGTAGAAATCTTCTGTTCTCCTGCAGATGAGGACCTGCAGTTGTGAAGAAGGGTACACTGAAGTCTTGTCTTCTAACGGTACACTTGAGCAGTGCACACTGATCCCCGTGGTAGTGATGCCCACCGTGGAGGACAAACGAGGAGACGTGAAAACCAGTCGGGCAGTCCACCCGACCCAGCCCTCCAGTAACCCAGCGGGACGGGGAAGGACCTGGTTTCTGCAGCCATTTGGGCCAGGTGAAGTGACTAGATGGCACAGATGTAGAATTCTTTGGTTATACATTTTACCAGTGACCGATGATTAAAAAATGAGCAAGTATTTTCACATGAGCTATTTATTATTTCACCAAAATTATTTTGTTCTGATTTTGCCATAGAATCTTTTTTTTTTTTTTGCTATTTCACTGAAGAAGGCACCCAAGCTCACAATTCAGAGAAATGAAATTACTTTCCTCTGTGGGGAAAAAATGTTAGGATCCATATTAGTTATTCAGTCTCAGTCCTAAATTTACAAGTATAATTATTTTCACATTGAACAAAGAAAGCTAACAATTAAAATATTAATTAGGAAGAAACAACTTATCATTCAGTACTAGAACAAATGAAACTATAAAAGCATTCAAGAATTTTTCATTGGACCACACAGCAGTAATAATTTGAACCTAAAATAGGGACATTAGTAATGCAGTACTGTGCCGACCAGGGGGTGGGGCACTGGGAAGCCAGACCAATTTCTATCAGCCCTTAGAGTTGGCTCACTCAGAATCTCAGAATATTTGCTAGCACCAGATACACAGAGAGAGGGATGGAGCCATCCTGTCTAGGTGGGACCATATTGGAGACTGACCAAACCCTTGTGGTATTAGACAGCTCTCAACGTGTCTACTAATGGACTTGAAGCCGATACAGGCAAAAGCTTGAAAGCCTGGTGAAATGCTATTCCTCCTCTGTACGCTTACCCTCTCCAGTGGACTTAACCATACACGTATGCCTGGAAATAAGCTGAGGTTTAAAAATATGCCATGAGGCCTGTATAGTAGCTGAGATCATGCCACTTTTTCTCACACCAAGAAGGATTTACTAGTTCATGACCAAAGGGGATCTCCAGGCTAAGTCAGGCATAGACTACTTTCTAACTCTGTCAGAAACATGAGAAAGGAAGGAAGAAATTTACATAGCTAACACATCTCTATTTTTAATGCATTAAGTCAAAACATTTTTCCTTACTGGAGAGTCACTATTGGGATTTTTTAAAGTATTTTCAATATTTGGAGTGATTCACATATAACCACATCATTTGAAAAAAACATTTTATTTTGCAAAGCTGACTTGTCTGGCAAACATGGGAAACTCTTCTCTCAGTGTTCAAGAGAGTGGACCAGCATGTGGCCAGCAGCAACCTTGACCTTGACTAAGAATCCAAGTAGGCCTCCTCACATCAAAACTAGTTTTTAAAAGAGAAAATATTATTATCATCATATATAAACACTAATATATGTTTAATTGCAGGTATGCAACAGAAAATATATACCAGTGTGAGGATCAAATCAAGTTAGCAAAGTCATTAATAGTGTCTTATGTTTTAAGTTTATTCAAAACATAAAACTGAGTTCACATAAAATGAGACCAGAAAACCAAATTAGAAGAGTCTCTACCCTGTCTGATTATATACAGACTTCCCTTTGCTATCTGAAAGTAGAGTGTTTCTATGAAACCTTTCTCAAGTCAAAGTGCCATAAAACGAAGAAGCAGTTACCACTAATTTATATGGAAAAAACTTTTAAGCAGCCCCAGTCCCAGAAAATCGTCTAATTCATACCAAATATACTTAATTGCATCCAGTTTTACACTAAGCATAACACCCTTATGAGCTCTCTTAGCATTTTCTGATACCTTGGGACACATCTTGCTAACTGATGCACAAAGTAAATCAAGATAAAGCCCAGATGTTCAAACAGGTCAAAGCTTGGCAGCGTGATGCTGAGATGCTGAGATGCTGAGTGCGGTTCCCAAGGAGGGAGCCTGGCGGGGCCACTGTTACTGCCAGTAGTGGGCGCCACCTCTGTAACGGCTCACTGCAAAGCAATCACTGAACGCTACTGTTGCTTTTTGCCATTTTTCATAAAAGAGAAAATGATCGTCAGATTTCTTTCAGTTATCAAAAACAGGTGCTAATATAGGTCTTCTGTAAAAGCAAAGTGGCATAATGGGAACTTTCAAAACGCAGGTAATACCTGTAACTGGAAAAGGTGCAAAGAAGTTATTTAGAGATCCTTTTATATGTTAATCAAACTTGGTTATTTTGCAACTGATATTGTCAAATCAGCTTTAAAGGACAATGCAAGTGTAAACTAAATAAACGATTATTAATTCCCAAAAAAGTTTAATATATTCACGTTCATCTGGAAAAAAGTTAAAATAACAGCGTTCATGTTTAAATAACTGTCTGCATCAACTCTAAGTTGTGGGATTTTTTTAATTGCATTATTTTTCTTTTCTCATAATTTTCAATCTCAAAATGGAATAAAAGTCAAAAGAAAACATTTATGTAGCATTATACATATATTGGACTTGAAGTAAAATTCAGATAAGAAGCAGCAGAAATTTAGACATTAACTTGAAATCAGAATGCAAATTGAAAATATTATTTATTATTTTCAATTCAATTTTCATAGATAATTTATCTGTAATGAAGGAGAATCTAACTCACAATAGCAGCTTTGCATTACTCATTAAATGTGCCTAAGCAGTAATTCATTTTGAGTTTGAAAGGATTTGGTCATATGTGACTGGTCGATTGGTCATAGTTAAAGTTTCATTTATATGCCAGACTACTCTAAATTAATGATTAATATCCATTCTTCTTAGATGGGAGACTGAAGACCTGGGTTTACGGTGTAGCAGCTGGGGCATCTGTGTTACTCATCTTTATTGTCTCCATGATTTATCTAGCTTGGTGAGTGTCTAAATTTTTCAAAGTCTAAGGATAAATAATCCTTCTGTTTTTAGAGGAAACATTTTCCATTGGTCATCACACAGGAATGGCAAAATAATGTCTCAAATAAGTGTTCCACATTTATTTAGCACTTGTCTGAAGTTCTAAATAAACACGGTTTTAGTCTCAGATATCTAACAACTGCCAAATCTGAGTCACTTAGTTTCTGAAGATGAGCCAGAGCTGCTCCAGGCCGTCTTCTCAGGTACCTTCTCCTTGGTTATGCAAGAGAATATGCTTATGCTGAACTGTAGATATTTGTATTGGGTTAGTACTGGAGGAGGGTATTATGGTAATACCTAATCTCACTCAACTATCTTTTTAAGCATGCATTATTTATAAATTATACATTATTTATAAAGGTTTCTGGCCAAATATAAATGATTATACTATAATGTTATTTCTGTTGTTAGTACTAGGGGAATTCCATTTGGATAATTAATTTTTATATGATAATATAATATTTGAAGGGTTCTGTTTCAAGTTGCTTCAGAGCATAAAACTGAGAAATTCAAAGATATCAGAAAGTCAAATTTTAAGTTTGAATTTAGGAATGTAGGCAACTGAGTAATTTAGGTTTATCAATCCATTTCAAACTTTTTTCATTTAAAACAGTGATATTTTACTATGGAAGACTGATTTTTTTCTCCCAATTTTCATGATCTTTTTTAACAGCAAAAAGCCAAAGAAACCCCAAAGAAGGCAAAACAACCGACTGAAACCACTAACGTTAGCCTACGATGGAGATGCAGACATGTAAAATATACCTTATCCTGGCAACAACCAGTTTTGGCTTTCTGATTTTGCAGTAGATACCCAGAGGTCACAAAGCTATTCAGATTGTGTGGGTTAAAATGCACTGCACCTTTTCAACAGAGCATCAGTAAGAAAGGGGTGAAAATCACAGTGCCAGTGGGGATATCAAGATAATACCACTTCCACAGAAACCATCAGCACTGAGAAGTCTAGAAGATTAAGGTGACTACATGCTGCCTTCCAAGAGTTTTGTGTGATCTTTCATGAAACCTACCAGCTGGCAATTTACTTTCATCTCTAATATACAGTGGTGGAATTGGCCATTTGGGATGCCCGATGTAAGCCTCTGCCCGCGGTGTTAACCCATAGTAACATTTTAGCATGAAGACTTTATACCAAGATCTCTACAATACGATAGGCAAGCATAACATCATGTATACTCAACTGAATGCTACATATTATTGTGTCAGATTATATACTTGTTAATAAGCCATTTTAATGGTGAATGCAAGATAAGCTCTAAACTGAGCAGAAAACCCATTGAGTAAACTCAGCATCTCGGTGACTGATGGTAGCTTTTACTGACCTGTATTTCAGAGGCAAAGACTTTTTTTTATAAGACTTAATTCTTGTCTTTCTCCAAAGTACGAATGCTGGACATGTACTAGTGTCTTAGAAGAGTTCTCAAGTTCAGTATTTTATAGTGGTTATTGTCTGGAAAACTAATTTGCTTGTGTTACTACAGTAAGTTTCTACTTTTCCCAATTTCAAACTGGTTGCCTGAATCGTTTTTGCTAAATGGAAGGCACAATTTTGCACTATATTAGTGCAGCATGAAGGCATTTAACCCGTATTGCCATAGAAACCACCTCTTTTCATATGGGATGAAGACATCTCTGCCAAGAGTGTCATGGAGACATTTACAACTTCCTGTATCCTGAAGAGAGGCAAGTTCATTTAGGATGGCGACAGGATGGAACTAGCTGTTACATCTGCTGTATACACTTTTCCTCATCATTGCAGCCATTGGGAAATCAACAACATGGCGGTGATTTAAGTGTTTCAGTCCAAAACTCATTAACCCTCTGAAAGATGGATCCCTCGAGTTGGTTTTTAATTGTACTTCGAAGGCTGTTTATGACTAGATTTTTATATTTGTTATCTTTGTTAAAAAAAGAAAAGAAAAGAAAAAAAGGGGCTGGTTGTCTTTTTAATTTTGAGCAGATGGAGAAAATAATGTATTGATGATTTTTTGTGCCTGAAAGAAATCAAGATTGTGTGTTGATTTTTTTCCCTCTGATCTGTTTTTTCTAGTTTTGTCATTCTTACTGGTAACATTCAAAGTGGTCTTTTTAATTTATGATTTTGAAAGCTAAAATTTTAAAAAGAGAAAAGTATTTTGTCTAGGGCTTCATTAAATGTCTAGACCAAGGGTGGCAAACCTTTTCTGTAAAGAGCCAGGCGGTGAGTATGTTCAGGCAGGTCAGTGCTACAGCTTCTTGGTTGTGCCATCGTGAGAGCACAGACACAGAGAACACACAGTACAGTGAAGCGTAAGCACGGACGTTTTCCAGTAACATTTTCTTACACAGTCAGCAGGCCGCATCACGGGTCACTGTTTACTGACCGCTAGTCTAGAAGTTTATTCCCTGCTAACTCTCCACCGTGTCTTTAGTTTTCATTCATTTACCTCAGACTGAAATCAGTGTTTAATTTCACAGGTGAAAAACTGTTATTGAACGTATCACTGAGTTGGAAGTCCTATATTTTTGCAGCTATAGGCCTGGGAATGGCACAGTGAAATAATACCTAACTTGGCAGATTTCTTTCATATGAAAAGAAAATTCAAAAGGTGCCATTAAAGAGCAATATCATTTTTCAGGCAACTTTTCTTGCAACAACCTTTGGGAGAGGGGGGGATATTAGGGTGTCAGGTCTTTTGAAAAATAGTGTAACAGCTATTTTTACCTTAAACATAGCTGTGTTGCTATAAAAGTGATTTGGAATAGAAGGTATTTTACCTTCATACTAGAGTTTGAACTCCCCCTGCTGTTTCTTAAAGTATTTGCAAAAATTATAGAAGACATCAGATCAGGATGTCATTGTCCCCAAAATGAACACATTTCTACATATGTCAGTAAGAATTAAATGTGGTAAATGTTAATTTGTTATTCAATATTTATTATATTAAGCAATGTAAATAATTTCAAAACAAACAAGTGATCGAGAAGATGAGAATTTACCTCTAACCAAGGAATTAAGGAAAAGCATAAAAACAAATTCCATTTCGTCTCTTATTGAAGAGGAAGACACAAAATAATATTGTTACTCGAAAACTGTGATTGCCAATATAGGTATGTACTCAGGAGTCTTCCAGAAAATTGATCTCTTTGAATAAAACAATTCCATTTGTCCAAAATAGTAGAGAATCTAATTCAGCTAACAGCCTTATGAAATGCGTGCAGCACTTAATAACATTGAAATTATTGAATCAAATAAAATATTGTTGCTACTAAAGCTATATGTATAATAATGTAAAATGTCATTAATTCAGAAGGCAGATCGGTGTCACCCTACCTTTATTATAAGAATTAATTGATCAAAATGAGAAAATGTTATGAAAATAGAAGATAACTTAATTCATAAATTGATTACACTTTACAACACAATGTGTGTGCAGAAGACTAGGTTTAATGTGACTCAACACTAGGCTAGGGAGTATATTTGAAGTTCCTTGTTAGATAAATAAATACCGGATGGCCTCTTGTTAGAAAGGTTGGAAGGAGGAGAATGTAGCTAGCTGGCTATTTTGGACAAATGAAAGTTACTGTATTCATGTTTATAACATGAAAATGGCCTTATTTTTGCTCTTGGCATGAGTCGATAATGAGTTAAACACCTTACTGAAATTTCATCAGAACCTTATTCTTCCTGTCCATTTTAAGAATTCAGGACGAGAATATAGTAATAACTTGTCTGTTGACACTTTTGCCTTACCAAAATGGTCTGAGTCCAGAAAGATTTAGAATTACTGTTGGATAAGTATGAAGATCTACTTGGTTTAAGAAAAAGAAAAGAAACGGAGAGTATTGACATGTGTTATACTATTTTGTTGGACTGTGTCAATATAAACCACACAGAAGCAACATAATTGATCTCTCTCAAAAGGGGCTGATTTGCTCATTCATTAATACCTTATCTAGGATCTTGACCATCATCCTTATTTCAAAGCCTCTTTTTGGACACTACAGTGTAGCTTAAGCTAATTTGAAATGAGTACATAAAAGCATGTTCTTAATTACTGCAAAGCACAAACTTCTTATAACAGACAAATATTTATTGAATTATCACAGGTAAGACACTCTGCTAGGCACTGTAAAAAACTAGTAATGGCTTTTGTGTACATATGTAGCTAAGACATTCAAAAGGAGGAACAAATGCTTAATGAATACACATCGCCCTTTAGCTCTGTTTTTCAGTGTGGTTCGTGTTTTTTCTTACTGAACGCCCCTCCACCCTCAGAAAGGTGGCAGTGGTCATTATGGCTTAATGAGAACTCATCTTAAATTCCTGTACACTTCAAGATAAAGTCACCTATTTAAAAACTTCTCACAGGGAGCAAGTAACACCTCTCATGATTTTTTTTTTTGCCCTCCTCCCACTCGCTATATCCTTGCTCCTTTATGAGGACTTTCTGTGCCTGGTTTCCTCTACTCTGCTCTCTTATCAACAACCGATCTCATCTACTCACCTCAGAACCACCTTCTACTAAACACGCCCACATTGTTAACGAGAAAAAATATGACGTGAATACCTGTATTTCCTTCCTCTTAGGGTTGAAGTGTCACTTAAAGTGTGCACACATTGATTTAAACAGAATGTATGGGTCAAGGACATGAGGACAAATGTACACTGCATGCCAGAAAACAAGACAAAACAAAAAACCCTCTTCTGTAAAAGTGTTACTTCCTACACTCGATTTCGCCCAACTCCGAGTCCTCCGACTTGGGGTCGGAATCCATTTGCGAGAATCATCCCCCAAACCTCTGGGATCCCACTATTTGTAATGACATCACCAAACACAATGTCTTTCTTGTTCTCTTTCCCCTCTAATACTGAGGTGTCAGAGTGAGAGCAGTCCTCGAACAAATCTGGGAGGAACCTTGCAAGAGGGTGACCTCTCCCAGGTGGGGTTTAGATGTGAGAACAGAGGTGTCTCCCTGTCCCACCTGGCCTGGCCTCAGGTGGCCGTGACTGTAGAACGGGCTTTTAGGTTTGAAACAAATAGGAGTGTGGGCCTAGCAAACGTTACTTTTTATAGAAAGGGTGTGCGATGTGATGAGGCTGGATCTAGCAGGGACACTGAAAAACAGTTATATCTACATTCTTAAATAAGTAAAATAAAGCCAAGATGGGTAGAGTTAGTTTTGTAGTTTTATGTTTTCATGTTTTTACCAAGCCAGACCTTGAAATGGGCAGTGTACGGAGACTTACACTTTGTGGGAGTCATGTTGTCCGCGATCAAAAATCTCTATTTAGGTATATAATGGGGTGTCTGCCTTATTGTTGTGTTTCGTGGATGTTCTTTTCTTTTTCCCAAAGTGGTGGCTGGTAGGTCACCTACTTTGATCCCCCGATGACTTTCCTTGACATTTTTCAGTAATCTGTGTTTGTTTTTCAAAAGTGATCATCAAGATTCCCTTTCTGGTACTTTTTCCTGCCTATTTCTAGCACAGAGATTTAAAGAGATCAGTATCTGTCACTGTAATATATAACTTTGTTAAATTTGCAATATGTCTTTCTATAAATTATACTTCCCTAAGTATGGTTTTTGTTTAATTTAATTACCTGAATATTTATTTTGTTTAAATAAGAAGGCAGCTGTTTAAGAAGTTTTTGTTAATATTACTTTGTAAATTGTGTAATGTAACTTATTTTAAATTATGTACATTTCTTTTTTAATGCACAAAACGCCTATGTACTGATTAACTACAGATTTGCGAACAAAGCCACTAAGCTTTCCTCAGTTAATACAGATGGCATGTGAAGATGTAATATGCTTTTTTACATTTTCATGTGGGGAATTTGTAAATAATTGCATTGCTGACAAACATAAACATGGGAATCATTTTCATTCTACTCATGTGTCTGTTTTAATTTGCATTATTTGCTACTCAAATGTGGGTTCAATTTTTTTTCAGTGAGTGTGCAAATCCTTTTACTACTTTCATTGCCTATTCCTGGGTCTTTTTTTTTAACATCTACAATTTAGAAAGTTCAAGAGATGCAAACCTTTACTTTAAAACTCTGCTGAGGTTCCAGAGTCGTCATTGTAGACAAAGGACCTCTTGGTTTCCTAACTTAAAAAACAAGGCAGGAGTTCACACATTAACAAACTGATTCCTGTAATTCCCCAAGTCAAGTAAGTTTCCCACATTTACAACTCAAGAAAGGATGCACAACTTACATCAATTACTGGTAGGGCTGCTTGTAGTTACAACATGTTCTGAAGTAGCTGTTTGCAAAAATAGAACGAAGCAGGGAGCCCTCAGACACTCACTATAGGAACCACTTAACATGTACAGCTAGCCTCCAACGCTTGATGTGAAAATGGTGATTTGCAGCCTCCTAATTTTCTTTGTTGTGCATTACAACTGAATCTAAACTTTTGTAAATCATTTTAAAATATGGCGCCCAGGTATTTTTTACATATTGCTGGACAGTCATGATCAAATTCCTAACTTTGTGTTTTATGCAACTCCAGTGTACGTCCCGCAAACACAGATAGGAACATGACTGGGCTACATTCAAGAGGGGGTGTATAGAGGGGGACATTACGTAACCATGAAAATATACCCATAAACCATTTAAAAATCCACTGTCTGTGGAATATAATGTCTCAATTTCCTGGAAAAATTAAAAAAAAATTGAAGGCCAGAGTCAGCCAATGGGTTCAGAAAGTAATGCAGAGGAGAAAGTAAACACCTTAAGGGGAGGGACAGGTCTGCGTCTCAGTCTTTCCTAAACAGTGATCATAGTGAAAACCCCGTCAACCTCTATCCCCATTGGCCCTCACCTGCTACTCCGACAGCTGATGTATAACCACGCCCTTTCATAATTTATCTCTATCTAAGTTTCACTCATTTATAATATTTGTCTGCTGGGGGGAATTTTTCTAAAGTTTATCACTTTTTTCCTATCTTTGCAAAAGGGCTGAAACTCTTGTTCTTCTGATGGCACTCCCTGGCTATCTATGGGGAATGTGATTTACAAATATAAATAAAGAAGGTGTCCTGGCTGTAGAAAGTCATAGTGGACAGTATTTTGATATGATATTTGTATAAAAGATCCTAAAATTACAAGAAAATTAATTTTATATGGTCATGTATGTTCTAATGTTTGTATGTAAAAATTCACAGGAAAATCAAATTAAAGTGTCTCCTTCATAAAGAATGACAGACCAAGGCCAAGTCTGGTAGTAATCATGAAATAATGTATGTTGCAAAAAGATTTTGGCAATGCTTGGTCAGCGATAAAAACTAAAAGAGACCTTTAATGGAATTTCTTTTAGAAGAGGCATCATATTGGCTTTCAAAAAATCAACAATCTCTAGCCAACAGTATGTCAGTGTAATGATGGCTTTGTAATCAAAGCAGATGAGCGATAAAGTGCTACATTATTTTACATAGACTACAAACCATGCATACTCACAGTCCACTGATTCATAGTATGAGAGCAGTATCTGTAATGCCACTGTTATCAGATCCTGCGTATTTTACAGTTTGTTTATAAAAAAGTAAATTAATGAAGGGTCAAAAACCTTAATTGAAAGTTCTATTGAAAGTGGCCTTTATACTTCCTGGTAGGATATACAAACAGTGCCAGAGAACAGGGGAGGACATATAAACAGCTTGTGAACTCATGGAAAAGATTCTCATGAACCATCACAGTTGAAAATAATGCCATTTAAAACAATGACTCAATAGATGGGGAAATAAAGTTTGATGATACACAGTCTTATCCAGTAAGGCCAAAAGAAAAAAAAGAAAATGGTTAATAGGAATATAGTAATTGATTCAAGTCAGTGAAAGGCATGAAAATACTGCTTTTTAATTTAAAATAAACACCTAGTAATTCCACTTCTAGGAACTGATCCAAAAGCTAGAGAGAGAGAGATGATAGAGATAGATATAGATGGGTGATGGGTAGATAGAGATAGACACAGTGGGTGATGTGTATGAGATGTGTGCACACTCTGTGTGTGGGGGGGTGGGCAGGGAGATGATAGGTAGGCAGGTAGATGATAGATATAGATATATCTATCTGTCTACAGATAATAGATAATTGATATAAAGTAGGTACACAATGATATAGTATAGGGATATTTGTCACGTTTGTAGGTGCAAACATGGAAGCAACATAAATGGATATAACTAATGGAAAGTTTAAATCAGTTACCATGCATAAATAACACAAAATAGTATGCAAGATCTTGTCTGCGAGATCCTCTTTTTCTGTCTTTAGTTTTTCAGAACTTCAAACAGGCAAAAATTGGTGACAAATCACAACACACACACATTCACAAAATATGCCTTAATTATGCTTTAAAAATTTTCCAGCTATTTATATTAAATATTACAAATGATTGGATATTGAGAGTCAAGATTTTTTGGTGCAATATGAAACTCAAAAATATTATCTCTGAATTCTGCACTTCTAAAGCCAATTTAAAAAGCAATTACAACTGAGGAAACTTCAGTATATATCACACAGTAAAGTAAAGTAAATCATACAGTTCAGTAAAACTGTATATATCACACAAAAGAAAAAATAATGCTCAGTATTTGTCATTTGTAATGCATCTTTTTTCTGCCTAAATCCCTATCTTCCAAAATAACTTAAAAAAAAAGAAAAAAAACTTTTAAAAACCCTCTGGCTCATTGTTGCTAATGTGAAACTGAACTTTGGAAGTGCCAAAGAAATAACAAAAAAGAATTATCTTGCATTTTAGCAATTGCCTGAAGTTAAATTTGATGAACTGAAAAGGAAGGGTTCTGCAACATTAGAGAGAGCAGCTGGAAAAAGAAGGCTGTTTCTGTCTGCAGCGGCCGGTGCTTACCAGATAATGAGCAAAACATTTACAGCTCATCGGGACTTAGGAAAACGTAAAACACCAACTTGGAAGTACAGAGAATGGATAATTGTCTTCTGATTAGATATCCAGCCTCAATTTTTGAAGCTAATAAAGTAAGGAAAAAAAAAACCTCCAAAAATGTGCATTAGAGAGCTCTAGGAAAATATGGAACAAATGTTTATCTAACTAGATTATTGCAATGTCTCTCCTGAAACACTCTATTAGAGCTTTGCTGCAAGGAAGAATAATAAACAACATGAGAAGCTTTTATCTTCTGTCCAGAGCTAGTTGGATGAAGTTGAAAAATACCAGGAACTTAATACAATGGTCAATCCAAAGGCAGGTGTAATGAGAATGTTATTTGCCAGAGGAAAAGACTTAGTTCTAACATTTGCCAGTTGCTTCACTAATATGATAACTGCTGGAAAACTGTATATATCACATTATACAGGATATTGCAGACAATTAAAGACCACTTGGTTAGTAAGATGCCCAAAGTCTCCTCTGAAATTGATGAATATATATATTCACCCAATACAGGCAGGGCATGTGGTCTGTATCTCTCTACTCATTCATTCGTTCATTCATTCATTTATCAGTAATAATTACTGAGGATCATCTTTGTGTCAGGCACCATTCTAGACCCTGAGTAGTGGAAAGTGGGAAAGCAAAAAGAAAACTTGCTTTCACTGATCATACATTCTAATGAGGGGAAAGAAATAATAAAGAAATATAATAAGATGCCCTGGCTGGTGTGGCTCAATGCCACATGCCTGGCCCCCAGTATGTGCTGAGCAAGAGGCAACCACACATTGCAGTTTCTCTCCCTCTCTTTCTCCCTCCCTCCACCTCTCTCTCTCTAAATAAACAAATAAATAAATAAATAAAATCTTTTTTTAAAATGGAAATATAATATGCTGCTTGGCAAGAACTGCCAAGGAGAAAACAAAATAGGATACAGGTGATAGGGAACGTTAGGGCACTGAAGGGAAGCCCCCACGCTGACCCAGTTTACTGGGGGAAGACAGGAAGGGTCCCACAACAATCACTAGCAATTCTCAAGAAGAACAGAGACATGGATACAAAGGGCAGTTTGATGGTTGCCAGATGAAAGGGAACTGTGGGGGAATAGGTGAAGAGGTGAGGGAATTAAGGAAGCCCAAATAGGTAGCTACAGAATAGCCAGGGGGATGTAAAGTACAGTATAGGAAATGGAGTAGCCAAAGAACTTATATGCATGGAGGAAAAATCAGGACAACTACAATAACATAATCATAAATACAATTTTTAAAAAAATACAAGCAATTCTTCAGACACTAGCTGGTTCAACTCAATTTTGACACACTCTACCCAGAGAGAGCAGCAGGTTCCACAGGCGAAGGATTCAGTCTACCCGACTGCCCTTCCCCTACTTCAGATGCGGGTTATAAGCCCAGGTTGTCACCAGTGCACCTGACCAACTGGCTATAAATCAGAGGTTTCCACAACCTGCTCCTTGGGTTCCATTAATTTTCTAGAGCAGTTCATAGAATTCAGAGAAGCGTCTTGCTTACTAGATCACCAGTTTATTAGAAACGAATGTACAACTCAGGAACAGCCAGGTAGCAAAGATGCACAGGACAAGGGATGTGAGAAGGGGTGTGGAGCTTCCCCGCCCCCTCTAGGAGCAATGCTCTCCCAACACCTCCACGTGTTCACCCACACAGAAGCTCTCTAAACCCAGTCCACATGGGGCTTTTATGGAGGCTCTGTTCCACGGGCACGATGGATTAAATCATTGGGCATTGACAGTTGATTCACTCTCCTGCCCCTGCACACTCCCTGGAGCTGGGAGAATGGCGGTAGGAGGTAGGACTGAAAGTACCAACCTTCTAACCACATTGTGGGCTCTCTTGACAAAAAGCCCCTCTCTTTATGTAAATTCCAGAAGCCACCTCATTAACATAACAAAAAAAAACTTAATGCCCTCATCACTTAGGAAA